GGTTGCTCTGGGTATTGCTAGTTTCTAAATATATTATATAATTGAACAGCTTTTCCAACCAAGTCGTTGTAGTATAGTGGTAAGTATTCCCGCCTGTCACGCGGGTGACCCGGGTTCGATCCCCGGCAACGGCGTTCCTTTTTCCCAAAGCCGAAATGCTGTTGCTTCAACTTTTACTTTTCTTCTACGCATTTTCTGGGAAAATGATATAGAAAAAAAGGCCGTGAATTTCACAACCTTAAACGAGCTAACTAAAACGTCCTCAGCATAATAGAAACAGAGAGATCTCCGCCGTCTGATCTTTCTACTGAAACTCCCCATCGTCCGATCATGACAACCAGCATCCATGTCACCGCCCTGGACAGTGTTGTGAACGTGAACTCCCTCTTCACGCTCGCCGTCTTCATCGGCCTAACGTGGAACCGTTATGATTCCAGAATTATAATGGAACAAGGCTATACAGATTGGAACTTCGAGAATTGTTGTTGATGTTTCATTTGGGTTTTTGGTTTCTTCTGGGGATCTTTTTCTTGTATGAAAAGTTGTTTTGATACTGTATTTTCACTTGGGCTTTTGATTTTGTTGTTATTATTGTTGTATAATCTAGCTGAGATTATACAGAAAAATGAAAATATAGGATATCAGTATGTTCTACTGGATGTGATCACATTGAAATTTTAACTTCGTAATTTCAAGGAATGGCATTTGTGTTCTTTCCGTACAACGAAGAAGAGATCATGATGAAAAGGGGGGTTTATTGTCATAAAGATGTGAAATGAACATATTTGTTAGACTTTTAGTTCGTAGTTTGCCAGATCTGTTTGGGTTTTTGACAGAACTGGTGAAGAAATTTTCTTTATTATCTAATTTTAATGGGTTGGGACAGTGCAGGTATCAAGTCGGTGGAGATCAGCTCTACGTTTCAGAACAGTGAGTAGTGTTTGACAAATTGCTAGATTTTGTATTTCACCGACAAATGAACTGGGAAACAAGTTGCTTATTGAGGTTACTGCAGGCATTCAAGTCTTAGAACATTGTTTTAATGAGTTACAGATGAGAAAGTAGCAGGAATAAAGACCCAAAAACCACAAGCTTATCAGCCCACAAACATGCTATGAAGGCAGAATAGAAGAAGGTAAGGTAGTCAATATACTAGGTTTTTATAAGCTAATGCTGTGTGTTCAGCTTGAAATGATACCTTAGTTGTTTATAGATGTATCAATGTCGGCTTGCATTTCTTGATTCTGGTTTCCATGAATGTTTAAACTGTGGATGGGTTTAATAAGGTCATTTGGAAGAGATTCCAGAGAAACAAGATGTAATTGTTGACCTTTGATGGTCAGGTAACTCTGAATCGATGTTCTGGAATAGTAGGTGCTGCAGCTGATAAAAGACTTTTCTTTAGTTCCACATCCATTGTAATGGTGGAATTCACATGTAGTTGGATATTTTTTAGCTATTTGTTTCAGCATAAATTGTTGAGAAGCATCTTTCTTTCAGCACAAGTTGTTGAAGAAATGGAAGCTCCAATGAAGTACATCTGTATTCTAGCGTTTCTTGTGATAATGACCATTGCTGGTTCAATGGAGTGGAAGGACATGATGATTATGGTCCATGTGGGAAACATAACATTGAGAAGGAAGCTGAGAAGCTGGCACCTTGTACAAAGGCAGCCCAAGATGTGAAAGCTCCAGTTTCCAACCGTTGCTGCACTGTAATGGAGAAAAAGCTCAAGAATCCAAGCTGCCTCTGTGCTATTATGTTTGCACATTCAGCATACAACGCTGGAATCAAGCCAGAAGTTGCCGTGACCATTCCAAAACGTTGCAACATTGCTGTTCGTCCGTCGGTCACAAGTGTGGAGGTAGAATTCGCATATTACATAATGTGTTCTTGGTTACACCTTTTCTCCCTTGCTTTTATATAATGCTGCTAGTGTTAGTTCCATTCTCATGAAGCTATTGTTTATTTCTTGCAGCTTTCCCTCTCCTTTAAGTGTGAAGGCTCCCATTGTTCGTCGTCCTGTGCTTCCCATGGTTTGTTCTTGTTGCTAGTCAATCTAGTTGATGAGTTTCACTGTGACATCCAGCTGTTTGAGTGAAAAATAAAACTGCAGTTGGATCTTTGAATAATAAATGGAAGTATAGTTGTTTCCTTTAATAATACTAAATAAAAGGTTAGTTTTCTTTGCAAAACATTTGCTTGTTGCTCGATAACCATTTTCTCCAATTTATGCTGTTAATAGGATCAATAATGGAGAGGGTCACTTGAGTTGAACAATCTAACTGATATCATTGACTTTTATATGATGTTGTTGAACTAATGAGGCTTTTAGGATGTTTCATATTCAAGTGAGCTAAGATCGCATATCCTAAACGATATGAGTGGCAAGTTGCAAGAAGAGAACAGCTGGTGATTCAACAAATAGAGTAGACCAGCTTGGTTCTGCCATGAAAGTGAATCATGCAAGTGGTCCACTAAGAATTCACTGGTTTTTTTTTTTTTTAAATTCGGGGAAGGGACATTCAAACTTTGCTTATTGAACAGCGATTGATACATCAAGTGATGATACATCAATCATTGAACTAAATTCTCAGATAATGAAATGATTCGGGTGCAGTTCACTGGCTTTTTACTAGTAAATAGTGGTTAACTACAAGCAATGTTTATCTGGTGTATTTGAATTTATAAAGCAGGACAACATGCCAACAGACCGATATCCTATATATTGGTGAGGAGGAAGATTTGGGTAGCTAGCTCTGTGGAAGAAATTATTAAAAAATAAAAAAAGAGATGAGGGTTAGCCGATTAGGAAAAGAAAGAATTTAGAATTTTGGATTAACACTAGGAGTAAAAGCAATAGAACTGTCGACATATACCATTCATTTATTCTCTTTATCTTGTAAGGAACTCTTTCATTAAGCCAATGAACTTCACACGAATTGTTGCCAGGAGGACTTTACAAGGAACATTGATTATCTGATTCCCCGAGTTTTAATTTGTACATGCAGTCATTCATAAGAACAATATCCAGCAAGTCTGGTGTTCAAATTCTAATATTCCCATATTGCGATCTCCTTTGACTCTAGAGAGAGAGGTAATGGATATGTAGTAGAAGTCGAACTTGTTAGATGCTATGCTGTCAGCTTCTCATGAAAAGGTTCTTTTTGCCCCTTCAGGATAAAGTAGTGGAATTACAGTAATGGCTTTAGCAGGCACTAACCGCCATTGGAGTAGTAGGTGCTGCAATAAACAAAACACTTTTCTCTAGTGCTACATCCACTACGATTTGTGGGTTTCATATGTATTACTCATTAAAAACGTTTTTAGTTGATTGGTTTTACTATAAATTTTGAAGTTGAGAAGTGTTTATGCATTGCAATATTGAAGAAATGAAGTGCATCTGCTTTTTGGTGTTTCTTGCTATTTTTGGCATTGCTGAGCTCAATGTAGCAGAAGGAGCTGGTGAATGTGGGAGACCCCTGACAGTGAAGCCTGGAAGTTGGCTCCTTGTGCAATGGCAGCACAAGATTTGAATGCTCAAGTGTCTGACAGTTGCTGCCAACAGGTGAGGAAAATAGGCCAGAATCCAAGATGTCTCTGCGCTGTTATGCTTTCTAACACAGCTAAGAGTTCTGGAATCAAGCCAGAAGTTGCTGTGACCATTCCTAAACGCTGCAACATTGCGATCGTCCCATGGGTTACAAATGTGGAGGTATATTTTATTTTTACAGTATTATTTACAGACTCTTTATCCATTTTTCCTCTGCTTTTACAAGATTCACCAAGTTTGACTCTCATTTTCCTTCTTCATTTGCATCTCTTGAAATTGCTTCTTACATTTTGCAGATTACACTCTGCCTTGAGCATGAAGGCACAAGTCATTGTTCCTGGTGATGTATTTGAATGATACATAAAAGATTGTGTTCAGTAATCTTTCGATAACTTCAAGTATTTTCTTACTGCTCAAAGCTCAAAAACCTCTCCTCAATAAATGGAATTCTTGAAACCCTTATCTTGCATGATTCCTATAAAATAAACCAGAATATGGAAACCAGAATTTGAATCCAGTCACCGGAACTACAGATCACATGACTGTTGGCAACATATAATTTCTCTTTGTGATCATTCATTGTATAAAAGATGCTAAAATGCATCCAATCTTGAAAGTGAAATCAAGATGAGAGAAGGGTATACTATATATGTCAATATATAGTTATAGTAATCCATTTTCTTGTGGGAAAAATCCCACAGAGCATAGTTCAGAACAAGAGGATTAGATTAGTCAGGCAAAAGAAAAGTAGATAAACGTATAATACATGAATCCGGCGTGCTCTGAGCTGTCTGCCCTAAATATAACAGCTTACAGGGTCAACATCTTCCTCAAAGTCCTAAGCTGTGTTATGCTCTATATGCTTCTACTGTATTGCTAGCTATCTACCAGCTTATTTCCATAGTAATAATACGATTAATTACGCTGCTAGTGTTCCTGCAAAATAGTCCACAGATATAATTTCAAGCAGCTTGATCAAAGAAATATGGAAGTATGCTAGACTAAAAGAAGAAATATTATGCCAAGAACATAAAAGAAAATTGGTTTCTGTGTTTTTTAACTGTTATTATTATTGCTATATTTTTGTTTGGCCTGTAACAGGCATATGCATAAAAGTCAAGCACAAATAAGGTGGGGTGATTTCTTTTCCTTGTCAGTTGAATCCTCTATGAATAAATTTTCAAAGTGGTGAATGTAGAAAAAAAAATGTAAAACAGAAGGGTGCATATATATACAGATAAAGCAAAAAGGAGATCCATCAGGAAATTTTTAACATATACCTTAAAGTATTGGGATGGAAAGTTTGCATTATTTTGGATTAAGATGTTAGTAATAAAGTGAGCCTGTACAAACAAAGAATAAATTGATTAAAGATTGTTCAATCTATAATTTTTATGGACAGTGAAGAGTATTTTGTTTATCAACAAAAATCCCCACCAGCTTTTTACTATGCCCACCCAAAATTTTTTTTTCCCCCTTTTTTTCCTCTTGAAGCACCACCAGAATTGTTTCCATTGGGATCATCATCTCCCCCATCCTTCTTGAACTGTCAAAACAAAAGACCAAGAACAGAGAAATCCCTGGTAGTTAGCATGTAGAGAAAGCAAGATGCAGGACCTATACAAAGTGTTTGTTAAGGAATATTGTAATTTGTGTTATAGTTACATAATGGGGAGACTCAGTGGTCTTCTTCCTTGGAGAATAATTTTCTTGGCCTCCATAGTAGATAGATGAGCTGAGATTGCAAGGTTCCACTGTTTCATTATGATAAACGGACGAACTCTTGTCTTTGTTAGTTGTGCCACTGCTTTGTCCCTTGCTATCAGTGGTGTGATCTGAAACAAAAATGTGAAGGATTCACATTATATTCTCTCATCCAGCTTTCTCATGTCATCAGTTGCTTGAGAATCCAGTAAAAGCAACTTCATATAGTTTGTTTTTATCAAATTAAAAGAACTCAAGGTTTCCTGCTACTCATCTAAGAACCAGCACAAAAGGCAATGACAAAAGCAACAAGGCATGACAAACCTGGATTTCCATATTTGCCATGATGGGGCAAACCCTGATTATTCCATGACCCCATCATTCCAGAGTGACTGGAGTCCCTCCCTAGCACCTGAAATCAGAAAGAGAACAATTCAGACCATTGCAGCACAATTCCATTTAAAACAACCGGCAAAATCTATAAAAATTAGAACAAAAAGAAGGATAATCACAATAAAGAGAAGCCATGCATAGTTACCAGTCACCAGGGTCAAGTTCTATTGCACAGTCTAATCCAAAAGCACTAATTCTAGCAACTATTGGAATATACCAATCAGCCTACATTTTCTTTCTTCTCCTTCACTTCCAATATCCCTTCTCTTTCATCAATGATGCAAATCACTTAGAAAAGTTAAAATATTCAAAAGAAAAATGAGTATACTCCACTAGCTAGTATATCTACCGACCAAGTGAATCATAAAAAAAGGTTACAACAAGCACTTGATGAACAGACTTTACCGTATTATATATAAGCTTCTCTCTGCATCTTTTCAAGAATCATTCACTTAAAAATATAAATCACATCAACTTTTGATCATCATTCAAAGCCAATTCCATGAAGGAAAGAAATGTACAAACTAATTAAACAATAAACCATCTTTATCCTATACATACATCAACTTCTTAACTTCCAATCAAGAATTACCTCTCAGTACCAAAATTTCATATATTTTCAAGTACATAGTTGCCTAAAGAGTAAACGGAATTTTCTTGTTTTTTCATTTTAAACCATAAAAAATCAACAAGGTTGTATCATTTATGAATACAAATTGATGAGAAAAATGTCTAAAAACCAGGTTTTTTTTTTTTTTTTTACCGTTGATGGAGGGGGAAAATGGTGTCAAAAATCCCACTTGTGGATGAAGAAGAAGAAGAAGAGTCCTTGGGACCAAAGAGATGATCCAAAGAAACAGATGATGATGATGATGAAGAAGAACCACTCACTTGCCTTTTGTTTTCCATACCAGAAAAAGTAAAACTTTTTTTTTGTTTTGTTTTTCTTAAAAGCTTTCTTTGTCAACCAACGAACAAAACTACTTTGATAGATCTTAACAGAAACGACCCTAAAAAAACCAAACAAAAAGGATGCTTGCAGTGGATAAAAAAACAAACAGAGAGACTAAAGAAGGCAGATAGAGCAGCAATGGAAAG